AAGTAATCATAGAGGAAGGTCAGCAATTTTGCCTTTTCATGAACATCAGAAGAGTTTCAATAGAATGGACTCAAAATTTATTATGCAGCCATAGCATTATAGGGAGTAGGGGGCTTCATCCCCTCCTTGCTCTTTGCTGAATCTAAGACCTAAACAGAAAACAAAATTTGTCTCCTTGGACAGTACAATTGAATTTGTCTAAAACATTACTGCCATGAATTTTCAAAATATTTTTTTAATCATTTCACCCCAAGTAAGGCAATAAAGCCATTAAGACATAAAGGGTTACTAAATGTGAAAGAATAAGAAAAACATTATTAAGGAATGAGAACAGTAAAAGAAGAGGAATCAAGAAGACAGTAGATAATGATTGCCATTGCATTTACATTTTTGAAGATCAAAGTTAGTTGGAAAGCAAGCCAGAAGTGTGCAGTGCGAGAAAAGCAACTTTTAGCAAAGAACTTATGGTTACATCTAGCCAATTCAACTGTAAAATGTTGAGAACTTGTTGCCAATCTCGTACTGCACTTTAATTCATAAAGTCTAGGTACCATAAAAAAAAGTTAATCATGAAAGTATTTATAGAAAAGGCACAGGGTAAAATGGCAGTGGAAAAAATGACTGAAGCCGGAATGCCAGGTCAACACCAAAAACATTGTAGATTCTTTGGATTTTATCAAGAATCTCTAAATATATAGCAGAATTACCAGACCAGATGTGCCAACAATATTCAAAGCAAGGACAAATGACAGACATAAATATGTAACAGATTCTGGAGAGAAAAAATGTCTAGCATGACACAGTGAACAGACTTTCTAGCAGCAATCCTAGCAATTAATTCAATACAATAAGTAGAACACTTCATGTTATCATAGATTGTTAACCCAGAAAGGCGCAACAAGTTACTCTCCTGGAAGTTAGCATCATCCATGCTGATGGAAGGCAGAAAGTAGTCTCAGATGATCAATAGAAATCAGTTTTGTTTCAGAGGCATTAAAATTAACAAGCCATTCCTTGCCTTAGTTAACAGCAAATTTTAGGTCACTTGAGATCATCTACTAATCTCACTTTATTTTTTATTCCTGAATTAATGTATTTAAACAATGTCTAAATCAGTCAAAATAGGAACCCTGAACATCTATACATTTCTATCATGAAGTTACAAGATTATTATGCTTTTAGGATAAAATTCTACAGTTTTGGACATCAAAAAATCTTCAAATGCAGTTTCTGCATCTTCTTTGAAACAGAATGTCTTTTGGCTTAGAAAATTGTCAAGATGCTTGAAATAGTGGTATTCAGTGGGCAAGAGATCAGGGGAATACGGTAGATGTGGTAAAATCTTGTATCGCAAATTAGTGGGCTTCTACAGAGACATCCTGGCAACATGTGGCCAATCATTGTCATGAAGCAGATAGTTGCATTTTGCTTAAATGAATGTGAATTTCATCCAGTTATTGACAGTAAATTTGGTAGTGAATCTCTTGATAGATTCCAGAAAGCTGTAATGGATGACGTCAATGGTGGACCACCAGACAGTCACCATAATATTTTGAGGGTACAATACCACTTTTGAAAGGGCTTGGGTTCTTCATCATGATCAAGCCATTGAGCCGATTCTTTACAACTGTCATAAAGGAACCATTTCTCATCACAAGTTGCTATTCAATTGAAAATGGACGATTTGAATTTCGCGGATGCAGTATCGATCTCACTTCAAAACATTGAACTCTGAATTTCAATAAGTTCATATGGAACCCATATACAGAGTTTCTTCATCTTGCCAATTTTCTTAATGGTTAAATATTGTTGAAATGCTGATACCAATTATCTGAGACATTTCTCTGACACTTTGACATAGATTTTGTTCAACTACTGTTTTCAGATGTTGATTGTCAATTGTAGATGGGGCGTCCTCTACCATGTTGATCTTCTGGACTTGTATCCCCACTGTGGAACTTCAGAAAACAGTGCTGTACTGTCCGATCACAAGTGGATCCTTTATCCCATGCTCTGTTAATGTTGGTCAGCACTTTTAGAAGCATTATGAACAAGCTTGAACTCACACAAAAAAGTAAACAGATCTTTTCTTTTTTCATGTTCAAGATGAGGAGTATAAAATGCTTTAAGTTAAAATTATTCTGAAGGAGATTGATATAAAATTTAACTAAGAGAACACTTTAATCATTAGGAATTAGTAACATATTTTTGTGCAATTATTATAATGTATTAGGACACAATTAAAAAGTTTATTTTAAAAATCAGACATTATTTTCTGAACAACTTAATATTTAAAATCAAAGTTAAACTAAGCTAGTGAGTAGGATAAAATATCTGAAAAAAAAAAAAAATAAATAAATAAAAAAAAAAAGGTTAATTTTCAAAGAGGATCAAACATAAAATATAAAATCAGGGATTTTTAAAACTTAACATCTAATTTAATCTTTCCAACTCTTTATTTTTGTGGCACACTGTTTGTTATGTCAAGGTATTTGTGTGAAAATCTGGAAGATTTTTTTAAGAATTTCTTTTGTTCTGTAGAATTACTGATCAGATATATTTGGTCTCTCCAAGACAAAAAGTACTTGTAGATAAGTTCTTTGGCAAACTTACAGTACAGAATAAGTAAGAGCTAAGTGCTTAGAGGTTATTAGGGAATGCTTCATTTCTTTCACTCTCTCAAGGTAGTGTTATCACCACTGGAAGGACAGTTCAGTTGCCAAAAGGAAATTGTCAAGAATAGCAGAAAGGAAATAATATTGGCCAACAGAATGGAACCTTAGATGGAGATCTGGTTATCTGATATTATTACAGACATACCAGAAGAGGGAATAGATGAAAGAATAACTATTACTACTAAAGACTTAGTAGACTAACATTACTAAAATGATATTTCATAGCATGAATTTGCTTTCCAATTGTAAATGTCATTAGGCACTTAAATTTATCTTTCTGCTTCATTATTTATGAAGGGCATTCATCATTGGCTTGTACTTTTTCCAACCTGTAATCCATGCCTACTTGTTAGCTACTCTTATGTCTGCTTTCATCAAACTGAAAAGGTTAAAAAGGTCAAACTATATCAAAATTATACAAAAATAGATTTATGAAAGAATTGGAGCTTTTCAAGATTACCAACATTACCAGTAAAGAGAGAAGTGTTCAGAAAAGTACCCATTATTAATTTGTGTGTTGTGGATATTGGCTTGGAATGAGAAATTGTAGACCTGAGTTCGAATTCCAATCAAGTTTGTTACATTCAAGTATGTGCAAATAACCTTGGGAAAGATATGAATCCATCTTTTCTCTCCCCCACTCCCAGCTATGGATTGAACTGCAGGACAAACTGAGTCCTATAGCCTTGGTTAGTAACCAATCTCCTGCCAAAAGTAACAGAAACCTACTGTGGAAAAATCTTCAGCCATTGATCAAAAGAGACATGATCACCCAAATGTGTATAATGTACGGCATTTAACCGACTGATTGACCCATGATGAACTAAATATTTATTTCAATAATAAAAAAAAAAGAATAAAAACAAATTGATTGCTGAAGTATACCAAATGAAACAATTCTGGTGCCAAATAACTTTCTGGCCAGTCAAAGTACTTTTAAAATCTTTATTTTTCAGCATTAATAAGCAGCTCTGAATTATTGAAATAGTACCAAGGTATTAAGTGCTAAAATAAGTTAATTTTAAAAAAATATCTTGGCTTCTGCTTTGTTGAAAATAAACACAATCTTTAAATAAGTTTTTTAACATTTCTTTTAAAAGAGTAAATTTTTACTTGAAAATTTGTTAAATTACTCAATTAAATTTCACTTCTTTTAATAGAGAAATATTGCAGGAAAATAATATTACAATGTTTTCAGTAGTCCAAATAAAACTTTTTTATTTTATGCTATCTGAGAAATTTTGACAAAAAAATCTTTCCTGTCAATCATGATCTTCAAAAATGTAAGTGCAATGTCGATCATCATCTATCTCCTGACTCTTGTTCTTTTACTTTCCTCTGTTTCTATTGTATCCTTAAAGGAGGTTACAAACAAACAAAAGTGGTACTTGAGTGAAAGGAACAGCAACACAGGCATAGATGAAAGGAAGAGAGGTTTATTGTAAAAGAGAATACACTACTGAAAGACAAGGAATTGGTTAGCATGCTAGCAATTCCTGAAGAAAGTCTGCCAGGTATATCCTGTGCTTACTATATATATCTACTGATATAGTCAGTCTACATATGCGATAAGGAGTGTGGGACATTCCATTACAACAATTTCTTTCACTATCAGTAACTCCTTGCATCCTAGTGGCATTTATTGTTTTGAAACGATTTTAAAAAAATTAAAAAAGTAAACATTTTATCTGTAAGTGACATTCTATGAATATATTTATTTCCTTTAAAAACCTAAGTAAGAATAACAAAATGCATGATCAACTTCTGTGAGATGTTTCACATCAAAGATTTCACAAAAGCTGTATAAAATAGTATGGGGGTCAAGTTTTTAGCGTTGTCCTGTTTTTTATGGGCTTACAGCCAAATCACATTGAAACGCTAGTTTTTGTATAATCACTGAAGTTAAGCAACATTGATCTTGGTCAGTAGCTAGATAGGTGATTGCTTCAGAATACCAGGTACTGTAAGCTTGGATATGTAGGTGGTGTAATGGATAATGGTTTGGACTTGGAATTCGAAGAGCTGAGTTGCAATTCCAGCTGGATTCATTATATTCAATTATGCACAAATACTCTTGGGAAAGGCATGAATCCACCTCTTCTCCCCTACCTATGGGTTAATTAGTAGGACTTTTATCAGTAAAACATTATCTTCAAAAAATTGTTACAATCTAAAAAAAATATTTTCTGGCTTTAAATAACCTGCAATGGGTTGATAAATAAAAAAAAACCAAAAAAAAAACCAAATCAATCAATCTGCTTTTTATGAGAAAACTGATGAAATAGTAATTAAATGTTATGTGATTTTTTAAATTCATTTGCTTACCTTTAAATCTGTTTGCGTGAGAAGAATAAAAGAGCTAATGGACCAGCTTGCTAGGAATTCATGGGTTTTAGAATAACACCACGATAAAACCATGCGAGCCGTAGTCTGCAGGCGAGTGAAAAGAGACAAACTGTGTGCTGGATCAGCTACGATCTTCTGCAGAGACAATTCCGATCCTGAAAAAAAGAAAACATAATAATTTATCTGATAATATAAGATTATTGGTGGATCAGCTCCTCTAAGGGTGTTCGTTAACAAATACAAACATTCCATTTGTGTTGCTTGATATCGTTCATATCAGATACCAATAACATAAACAGACTAAAAACAAGTCTACTGTCTTCTCATTATTCCAGTTGAAATATTACAGATTAGCACAAAACTTTATGTAAAACTGTATCCTCTAAACAAGCAGGCTACACAAACAAATCTCTTGATGACCCAACGAGCTGCTCTTTGACCTTTTCACAATCTGCTGATATCCATTTCATATTTAATGTGCATTCCTTATGATAAGTTTCAGAAGTGAAGAATTTATCTAAGTACAGTCTTTTGGATTCATGATGTCTTATTTGATAATACAAAATTATCAATAATAATTTCTATACTCTAGAATAAATTCACCATCTTTTATCAATGCTATAACTTATCCTTTTTAGTCTAACTGAATCACAAGATGGGGAAAAAGTTCTGTGAAATACATTTTGTCTTCTACAATGACTTCAATCAGGCTGAAGTAATGTTCTTATTGAGGAAATAATATATGGCCTGATGATTGTGTTTAAGTATGAAACAGACTGTCACCACTGGGTTTTGACCGCAAAGCCCACTTTATATATATATATATATATATATATATATATATAATATACAGGGTGTACCAAAAATACTTTTACGAACTTTGGGGACAGGTTCCTCACATCAAAACAAGGACAAAAGTCCATATAAAAATATGTCTGCATATCCTTTGTTTTTGAGTTATTAATTTTAAAGAAAGTTTTTTGGTAGATGGTACTGTGTTTGCCATGTAGACTAGATTACATTTGTCATTTGTGTACATTTTAATGTGTGAAGCATATATGATTTTTATATAAATGGAGCATATACTTAAATATGGGTATCCACTAAAAATAATGCTAAAGTGAGATATATATATATATATATATATATATATATATATATATATATATAAATAATAGCTGGCCACTCATAATTGAGGATACCCGCCTACCAGAGTGGCTAGCCAATCCCTATTGCAGACGCTCGCCCAGGCATATTTACGTTTGCTCAACACCCATAAAGCCCACCTGTGGTTTATACTGCAACTATGCTAGCAGACATTAGTTACAGTTTCTGGGTGAGAGCGTGCTATCTAGCGTGATCAACAATTTGAACAAGGCCAGCATGCTCAAGCCCTTGGCCATGATGATTTATGGCTTTGTGCTAGCACAACTATCGACAGCAATCAAGAGTTCTGTCTACCCAATTTCACTCACAAGGCTTGAGCCAACCCGTGGTATGGTTTTCAGGCACTTTCCAAAGGTGCAGCATGCTGGGATCAACCTCAATCCATTCCAATAACATCAGTAAGTCTCATCCCTGACAAATCAACCATATATATATATATATATATATATATATATATATATATATATATATATGGGAGGTTTGCATATAATTATACAATGGCGGAAAATGGAGGGATGGTAAATTTTAACATTTACAGCATTCAAAGGTGTCTAAATTGATAGCTCAGCTGATCTCATTCAGTCACCCAACACTTTTTCTTTTATCCCTGTTGTTTTAAACATCTCAAACTGTGAAAACAGAAGACTTGCTAAGAAAGGTGAAATGTTGTAGGAATATGGACACAAATTTACTGTATTAGACTCAGAAATCAGTGCACTTTAATTTAGCATACTTATGTCTTAAGCATTCCTCCTCAGTGTATAATTTTAATAGATATTTACATTTTCCCCTCCTCCTACATTTATTTATATAGATATATATAATTCCATCAATAAGAACATTAGCCTAATGAAGTGCATTTAGATGATAATAATACATGTTACATAGAATTTTAAAAAATTCTTAAATGGTTTTCAAACTTTTAGTTAGTTAAGTTCATTAATTTCTTCTGTGAAAGCAATTGAGGATGAATTCTTGACTTTATAATCTCTATTTCATAATCCTAAGTAATTTATGAATTTAACTGACAAACTGTTGCAGAATGGAAAAAAATTCTGTTATGCATTTCAGCATCTAAAAGAACTTCATCAGACTAATACTCTTGTTGATGGAATTATATCTACATTATACATATGTTGATTGTATTGTCTTTGTGTAAGGAGGAGGGAGTATAAAACAAATCTGTCTTGGGTCATAAGTCAAAACAACAAAAAAAAGATGGGATTGGTTGTTTATTGTGAAAAGCAATGTAATTTATTAAATTACAGAGACAAACAGAAGATGAATGAAAAATTTTAGTCTGAAATCAATTGTAATAATAAAAGATGTAGAAAATGCTTCTTCATTCATTGGCACAAACATTATTTTCATGTTCTTTTTTAGCACTAGGTTCTTAAATAAAATTATTTTTATATAATCGTTACATTATTAATTCAAAATTGTTTATATAATTGCTAGGTTAGGAATTCAAAATTGTTTATATAATTGCTAGGTTAGGAATTCAAAATTGTTTATATAATTGCTAGATTAGGAATTCAAAATTGTTTATATAATTGCCAAGTTATAAATGGAATTTTCAATGGTCACACAAAAATAAAATACTTCTATTTTCTGAATCAAGTGCTACTTGCCAGTAAAATGAGAAATAGTTAATGACAAAGAAAGAGAAGATAAAATTCATAAGAGAATGTTCTATACCTAGAAATTAATCAAAGAGAAGGACAATTGCATAGAGAAAAATGATGGGTAAATGAATGACAAAAATTAAAAAAAAAAAAAAACACGTGACATTTCAATCTCCAAAAGGACTTCTTCAGACTAAATCTTTTTATTAATGGAATCTCATATATGTAGGGGAAGGGAATGAAATACAAGCATCCAGTTATAATTATACATAAAAAGGGCATCTCAAGGCGGTGTAATGGTTAGCAAGCTTGTCTCGCTAGAACAATTGTGACTGAGTAGTGAGTTTGATCCTCACTGGGTGGCCAATACTTTCAGCCTAATGTCACATCTAAGCTATGCTTAGAAAATCACTATAAAAATGCTAAAAATGCAGAAATTTTAAATTTCATACGTCATATGTATTTAGATGCACATTCGAACTGATCTCTTTCAGTTTCCTACTGCTTTTGTTTTTCATTTTAAGATCTGAATATAAAGTTAAGCTTAAATTTGCAACATTTTTCTCAACTAAAAATTATAACAGCCATTTCTTTGCATTACGTTCTTGCCTACCACATATATGTTATAAACTGGCACAAAGGATTACTTGTTAATTTTAACACCCCCAAAATGAAATTGGTCTTTTAATCAACTGAGAAACCCTTTTCTGACTTCCATCAGCATGATTAATGTTAACCTCCAGGAGAGTGAGTGATGGTGCCTTTTTGGGTTAATGTTCTCAGCTGACATGAAGAGCAAGGACTATATTGAATTCATTGCTAGGTCAGCTGCTATGAAATTTAGTTCATTGTGTAATGTTAGACAATTTTTTTCCTCCAGAATCTATCTTGCATGTCTATAAGTCTACTGTTCACCCAGTTTAAAATATTGCTGCCACATCTGATCCATAGTTCCTGCTTTCTATCTAGAGATCCTTGATAAAATCCAAAGAAGAATCAGCAATATTATTGTACCTGATCTGGTGGTTCAGCTTCAGTTACTTTCCCATTGCTGTAAAGTTGCCTCCCTGCACTTTCTATAAATAATTTCATGGCAACTGTTTGGATGAGCTCTTTGCTATGGTACCAAGACGTTGTAAATTTAAGCACAACATTGGACTGGCAACAAGGTGTCATCAATTTACAGTTGAGTTAGTTTGATGTAACCATAATTTTTATGCTAACAGTTTCTTCACTCACTTGTGGAACTCTCTTCCAACTCCATCCTTTCCAGTTAACTTTCATCTTCAAAAATTTCAATGGAATGTCAATCACTATCTTCTGTCCTAATTACTCTTCTTCCCACTCCTTAGTAATGTTTCTGTTTTCTAATTTGCTCACCACCCAGTAACCTGCTTTGCTTGAAGTGAACTCATTTAATATAGATAATATAATCCTGCCATTTATTGCCTCTTGATACCACAAAATTTCCTTTCCTTTCTTTTTTTTTTTTTTTTTTTAATCAATTCATATCCTGTGTTTCATTCATTTAAACTACTGAAATGCAGTGTAAACCAACTGCTGAAATAAATTTAAGTTTATAACTGAAAAATTCAAGTGTAAGATTTTCTTTGAAATATATATATATATATATATATATTATATATATATATATACAAGCAAATATATGGATATAGATCCGACAGTATGAAGAAAAAAATATAAAAAAAAAACAAACAAAAATCCTAATATGCAATTATGCTGTTTTAATGTTAATATAATGTCAACGTCGGACATTTCGGTCTAGTAGACCATCTTCAGGACATATTCATAAAACATAATTAGCATAATTGCATATTATGATTTTTGTTTGTTTTTTTCCATATATATATATATATATATATATATATATATATATATATATATAGAGAGAGAGAGAGAGAGAGAGAGATATGATTACATTAATAAAAACATTATTTAGTCTGAAGAAGTTTTTTTAAAGGATGAAACGCAATGAAAATGGATTTTTTTTCATTTTGTCATTAGTTTAGCCAACAAAAGTCTGATATATAAAGTTTATATATCATTCTCACATAGAAGAAAATATAAATTTCATTACAAAACACCAGACTTAAAAAATAAAAGTAACAATTGAAGGAAATAAAATTGCATTTTTCATACAGCATAGTAAATAAATAAGTTAAACATTGAGTTTATTTAATCTTTGTCTAACATTTTTCTTAGGACTCAAAATTTTGTAGTTCTATTATTAATATAAATTTATTTTGATGGTTTTATTATTGTTATTAATATAAACTTGGTGGTTTTATTATTAATATCATCATCACCATCATTAACAAATTATTTTGGTGTTTTTTTTATTATCATTATTAATATAAACTGGTTTTATTATCATTATTAATATAGACTTGGTGGTTTTAGTATTATTATTATCCTCATCATTATTATTAATATAAATTATTTTGGTGTTTTTTTTATCATTCTTAATATAAACTGGATAGGCAAAAGAAGTGATTGCAAATGTTTGCAATATAAATTCTTATAATTATTTATTAGCTTACCAGAAGTAATGTTGTTCATGCTGTGTACATAATCCTCCAAGGCAGACAGTAAAGGCTGATAAGTATCTTTCAACAGCAAACCAGTCTTGGTACTGAAGTCCCCATTGGCCAGGGGACAAGGATAACATTTGTCAACAGTCTTCAAACCCTCAGCAGAGCACACACCTCAAGAGAAAAAGATGAGAACAATTATAAAAGAAGCACAATCAAAGATGGAACACAACTCACGAGAATTAATCATAAGATTCATTTTTTTTCTGCATCTAAAAGAAATAGACAAGCACAATTTTTTCTTGCTGTGCCAAATAATCATTAGACACAAAGTATTCATTACGATGAAAGCTTTCTCTATAAGAAAGCGAGCAGACTGATTCGATTTTGTTGTTGTATTTATTCGGTATCAGAGAGGTGGGGGTTGAAACTGAATCAAATGTCACGTTTTCTATTCTGCATTCAAAAAGAAAAAGAAAATAATAATATGGAAAGCTGATCACTTACAATGATCCCAACATCCAACAGCAGCAATTGTATGCACTTTTTGAGCCACTAATTGTAAAGACATCACAGACCCAGGTGGGAAGAGATCTGAAAAAAGACAATAAATAATTGTAGTTTTCTTGTTTTCACATTAATCAAACAGTATTAACAACAAATAGTTTTGATCATCTCATCAGCCCAAAATAGGAAAACCCCTCAAGCAAATATCAATGTTTCCTTATTATATATCAGTTCAAATTAGATATATAAAAAGCTCTATTCTGTCAATAATTTTCATATTTATCCCAAAAGACCACTAACAATCCATTTCTTGATGATTTTCAATATACAGCAGAGATAGAGTAGCAAAATTTGCTAAACTTGAGATCAAAGAATATAAAATTTAGGGCTTACCATTTTTTAAATTTTGCTGCTAGAAATATAGAATTTGTGCAGAAAAATGATTAAAGTTTCAGGAGGGAACAGTTCTCTACTACTGCCAGAATTGGTAATATCACTATATATAACCATCAGAATGAAATTTTAATTTTTGTTTTATAAATTCTGCCTCTGATATCACCAATGTGTAAATGGTTAGTGAAGGTTTAAAAATACTTGAATTTAAAATTAGGTCTTCAGTTACAGAATTTTCAAGCATTTACTAGGCTTTCTGTCTTCTAAGACTTTCTAATTTGGCTCAACAAAAGTTTGAAAAAGAGGATAAAAGTGCTTTCTTTATATATTTAGGTAGAAGCCAATAAGAATTTTGAAAAGTCAACTTGGCAGCAATTAAAAAAAAAAAAATTCTTCACTATCACAAAATATAAATATTGATAAAATCCAAAGAACTAATTTTCTTCCAGTAACAAAAGTCGTATCAATTTATATCTTAGGCTATGACAAAGCTTTAATAAAAATAAAAACTTCACTTCAACAGTTGAAATTTCTAGGATCTATAATGAGGAAAAAGGTCTTAGAGAATTTAACACTCACAGAACATTAAAGGTATCAGAGGCAGAGTAAAGCAGCAAATAACCTATCTAAAAATCTTGTGTAAATGATAGGTAAAACAGAGATTAAGAGGTATAATAAAAAGATCAATATTACTAAGAGCTACAAAAGATAGGAAGCTGTGGAGAGCCATGATTACTCATGTCCAGAAGGAACATGGCACATAGAGGTAAAAGAAGACCGCTAACATGAAATAATGTAAATGTATAACATTTATGTAAAGAAAAATATCATAAGCTCAAATTTTATTACAATTCTAAATAATTTAAAATATACAAAGCTTATTAAGTAGATATTTCACCAGAATCTATCTTAAATAGTAATAAGTCTACTATTCATCCTTGCTTTGACTATTGTTGCCACATCTGGTCTGGTGATCCTGCTACACATTTAGAGATTCTTGATAAAATCCAAAGAATATATAATGGTATTGGTCCTGAGCTGGCATCTTTGCTTTAGTTACTTTCCCGCCACCATAATGTATCAATTGTTATTTTCTTTCTTCTTAATTCCTGTTCTTTTATTGTTATCTCTCCTAAATAGTGTTTTGTTTTTGTTATATTCTCTACCATTCAGTAACTTCTTGTATCTTAGTGGCTTCATTGCCTTATTTGGGATGAAATGACAAAAAAAGAAAAAAAAACAAGGACAAATCTTTTGAAGACTATGCAATATCAATTTTCAAAGAATATGTAATTCTATTTGTCCTCCAAAATGAAGCATCTATTCAAATATGGTATCTACTAAAAATAATGTCTAAACTAGATAGAATTGCCTGTTAAGGAAACATGCATATCTTGTTGGGACTTCTATGAATCTATATCGGTTAGCTTCAGTTTTGAACTCAAAATGTAAACAGTATTATTTATTATTTGTATAAATGTTATTTTTAGTGGAGTCACATGTTTTGTGTCACTATCCTTGTACTTTTATTTTATTAAACAGGGAAATTAATAACCAGCCTAAATTGAGAAGTCTTACTAAAGAAAATGTGTGTCTCCAACAGGAATCGAACCTGAATCTTTTATTTTACCTCAGGGAAACTGCTTCTTAAGTCAGATTGTGTCTCTACCAGTTCGGTCATAGAACCAAACTGACAGGACAAAGTCAGAATTAATTACCCGATAAAGAAACCCTGCATTTTTCTTGGGATTCCTACATACAGAGTAACTGAAAAGTAACTCCCTATTTTATATATGAGCATCCAGCCAGGAGTCCTTTGACTTTGGAATAACTTGAAGGGAAAATACAAGAAGTTATGTCTTTCCTACCACAAGAGTTCCTGGTGAAATCAGTTGACATGATTCCTAGTGAAATCCGGTGCCCATATCAAATTTTAAATAAACACTTTCCTCTCATATCCATTTCTTGTAAAAATTATAGTTAATAAATAAATTATAAGCATTTTAAAATGGGAAGTTACTTTTCAAACATCCTGTATATCTGCAAACTTCAGTTTCATACCCAAAACTGTTAGAATAAAAACCTATAATCATTTATGATGAAACTTGTGTGTGTGTGTTATCACATATTCAAATTAAGCAGAAAGTGCTGTACTCAGTAAAAATGTATTTTTCTCTATAAATGGACCAAAGCCATATTGCCTACACATCATTTTCCAATGTGTTGCTTCCATTGTGAATACTACTGCTGGTAATACTAGAGGTACTACTAATATTTTGTCTGCATTACAGTCGTGCCAGATAGTTTAACATAATTCTTGTACACAAAGACATCACTACAACTTGTATACTCACATGTTTACAACTTGTATACTCACATGTTTACAACTTGTATACTCACATGTTTACAACTTGTATACTCACATGTTTACAACTTGTATACTCACATGTTTACAACTTGTATACTCACATGTTTACAACTTGTATACTCACATGTTTACAACTTGTATACTCACATGTTTAAACTTGTATACTCACATGTTTTACAACTTGTATACTCACATGTTTTACAACTTGTATACTCACATGTTTACAACTTGTATACTCACATGTTTACAACTTGTATACTCACATGTTTACAACTTGTATACTCACATGTTTACAACTTGTATACTCACATGTTTACAACTTGTATACTCACATGTTTACAACTTGTATACTTACATGTTTACAAAACTTGTATAAAACTATGTTTACAACTTGTATACTCACATGTTTACAACTTGTATACTCACATGTTTACAACTTGTATACTCACATGTTTACAACTTGTATACTCACATGTTTACAACTTGTCATAAATTTTGGGAGAATGGACACTATACAAAGAATGTAAAAAAAATAGGTATACTTCTGATGAAGATTTTAAAATATTTTACGAATTCTTATTGAGAGGATTTGATCTATATCTGTTGTTCCCAACAGGGGGTCAATTTGAGAATGAACTATTAACGTGGATTGTTTTCCTACTGAGTCTGTGTGAGTATGAGTATGTGTGCAAGTTAATATATATGGTACATATAAAGTATGGAAACATAAAAATATTTGTGTGTGTGTGTGTGTGTGTGTGTGTATATATATATATATATATATATATATATAGTGTGATGGGTGAATTGTCGCAATTTTATATTTTTAATTTTGTACATGCACAGTATAGTAGGGTCAGTTGAGCACCATCTGTGAGAAAAAGAGCACCATGATGGAATTCTCTCCACCAGAAATGTGGAAACTGCATGTTGTATTGTTTGGCATTCATGCTGGAAGCTCCAATATGAATATTTCAGAATGTTTGCCTGTCAATCTGAAGGCAGGGCAGAAATTTGGAAAGAGTTGGATGAGTCTTATGGTGATTACAATGGGATGGCAGTGTTATGCCTCCATTCATCTTCCCACAGAACCTCAGACTCAACATGTAGGCCTACATCAAGTGCCTTAAGGAGGTAGTACAGGATTCTGCACCATGCCACACAAGCAAGAGAACCCAGTCATGGCTGTCAGACAATTTCTGCGACCATATGACTCCTTACATCTGGCCACCTAACTCTGCAGACTGCAACCCCTTTGATTATTATGTATGGGCTGGATTTGAGCGAGAAACCAACAAAACTCCTTGCAACATTGGAGATGAACTGAATGCAAGGATTATGGCAGCATTCACCAACTTAAAGAAGGTGATTGTCCAGAAGAGTTGCAGGAGATTCTGAAGTCATTTGGAGGCTGTTGTTGAAGCCAATGGAAATTTTATTGAATAAAATTACTCTTTAGTATATATATATATATATATATATATATATATATATTATATATATATTATAATAAAACATTTTAAAAAGTTCGTTTACATTGCTACACAAAAACTTTTCATGTTTCAATACTATGATTGTACTTCCACAATGGTAGATAACTTGTGATAAAAATGATTTTTAGGGAAATTTAAAAATAAATCATTACCTCTTTTCAGATGTTAAATGGGGGCGCATAAAGTCAAAATTAACTTGTGGGTATGTCTAGATTAACCAATTAAAAGTCAGATCTATACTAAAATAGTAAATGCTACGAACTGTGGATTTTTACTCCATCTGTTCTTTCTCTCATTTGGATATAAACTTAATAGAAAAGCACTTCCCTGAAACAAACTTATTAGCAAAAATATTCAACAAAAGTAACGTTAAAATCAGTTACAGCTGCACAAAAAATATAACACAAATAATAAAAAGTCGCAACAAGAAAGTAACAACCTGCAATAATGCAACCAAGGAACCTCAATGCAACTGCAGAAATAAAACAACATATCCACTCCAGGGAAATTGAAAACAAATGAATATAATATATAAAGCCAAGGTAAGTGCAACAACAGCACACTGTACTACATCGGTGTTACTGAGGGACCATTCAAGAAAAGAAAAAACAACCACGACCTTTCATTCATGCTACACTATTCACATACATATGGTATCTAAAAGACAGAAATATTATACCAAGAATAAGCTGGAAAATATTGAAAAAAAAAAAAAAAAAAAGCACTTGCCTACAACATTACTAAGAAATGCCTACTTTGCCTACATGAAAAGATAGCAATAATTTTTCATACCCAACAAAAGAATTTACTAAACATAAGATCAGAAATAATTT